ATATGGTCATCTCGTCTCCTCTTTCCTCCCAGGTTGAAGACAAACAAGCTGAAGTCCAGCAGCTCCAGGATGAGATTCAGAGGATGGTGGAGACAAACCTGCAGACCCTGATGGAGTCCAACAACAAGGAGGTTTGTCTTTCTATTTTAACCAAAACCATCTGAATATTTGCAGTAATATTTGGTGTCCAGCAACACCCATCCCGTATAAGTTTCCATGACAGATTAAAGATCATTGTGACTTTGAGTTTAAACAACAATTCAGACCATAAACTTAAAGCTGCCCTTTCAAACAAAATATATGTCTAAGTTCAGAGTTACTTACTAAAACACATTGTGTTCTTTTACAAAGCCAAATTATTTTCAAATGCAATGTTTACATGCTTGCAGTCTTCTTCCCTGTCTTTGTTGTCACATTGCAGCGTATCTTGTTGCAGCCACCTGTAGATCAGAGGAATAGTATAAAACCACTGGCTGGAGTGTGTGTCTGCCACAACTCACTCATTAAAAAAAAAATAAGCTCCATAGCGCTAATAGAGGTCTAAAAGTCTACTGAGAACCTTTATGGTTAAAGGGGAACTTGGCAACTCTAGCCATTTCTTCACTGGTTTTCACTTTTGTCATCACATGTTTTCTCAACGAGCTCCCCCTACAGCTCTGGGACGTATATTTCACAACACGTCGTAAAAAAAACTCACTGTCGGCACACTCCTCCCCCTTTCTACCGCTGCTGATGTGCCTTTTTTCGCCGGGCAACTTTTTCGTGTGGAGCAATGTCTACCGAGGTGGGTAATACATTATACACTAACCGGTATTGAGGGCGCGTGTGCGTTTATGTGGAATTGCTGTAAAGCAGTTTGTGTTTCTCGCTGGTTCACGCTTCTCACGATACTTCCTATTTCCAACTTAATGGGACGGTAGTCCCAAAGTTGCAAAGTTGGTTTTCCACCTGGGGACACTAGGGGGGGTGGAGTTACCATTTTCACCGGAACAGGCCATTTAACCATCCAAATTGTTTCTAAACAGGTTTATTAAGCTGAAAAAGTTGCCAAGTTCCCCTTTAAATAATTTGTTTAATGCTTTAGATAATAAACCACTAAATATATTTAATAAAGAACATGTCTCTCTTAACCTCTCTCTGTTATCCCAGTTGGAAAGGAGACAAGCTGCTCCGGTCCGGTCTCCTTCATCTGGGGTAAGTTGTAACGTAGAAGTACAATTAATACATTCTGATATTTCCTGACTAAGAGATTCAGCAGAGTAAACTCAGACACAGACGGATGTGTGCTGTATTGAACAAAACTGACTTCAGGTCACAAATGTTCCTTTATACTCACTGACAGAAGAGCTGCTGCTTTACTGGTCAAACTGTGGAACTGCAGAGTTTCTCACAGGAAAGCTGAATGTTCTCAATTTGACTTAAAATCCCAAATTGAAAAAGCAACGGAAGCAATGACACAATTAAAATCAGACAATTATACTAAAACAAAAAATGTATGAAAAAAAACAATTGATTCATGAATTTAAGTAGAGTTGCCTTTTACTTTAGGATTGTTCCCACCACCACTACTAGTAGTAATACTAGTGCATATTCACTTTATTATCTGGCATATATATTTATTCACATATTTATAAATATAAATATTTTATACATATAGTTTTCTTTACATATCGTATAGTATTTGTGTGTTTTAGTTAAATCTCACAATTGTATTTGATCTAAAGCTTATTTAAATGAATAAAAACATTTAAATAACTTTAAGATGATAATATTAAACTGAAGCCACCGGGTTTTCTTGACTTTGGCTTTACTGCCTCATACAACCCGTCTGACCTCATCTGTTGTATGGTATGTGTAGAAATAATAAACCAAAATTAACTTTTCATTTAAATATTTATTTTTTTCTTTTGAACTCAAAATATAAAGAAATGTATTAGTGTATAAGTAGTAACCATTCTGTTTGCCACAAACTGAACTGCATTTTTGCTGATGACACAATACAGAAATTAGCATAAGTATTATTATTACACTAACTAAGAAATATTGTATGGTTTATAATGTTATAATGTCTGTACATGAACAAATATATATTGTATTTGCTAAAGGTCATCCATAGAGAGTATGACATTCTCCACAGTGACGTTTATGTTGGAGGTCAGTTAGAGGTCAGACTCCCTCTTAGACCTCTTTAAACCAAGTCTTATAAAAGTGTTGTATTCAGTAATCAGTACTGAGAGGAAAACACAAATGTTAGAACATTAAGGTTCAACTGTCACAGATTCTTTATCTGTTGGTTAATTCCTGCAGATTAACACTGTTAAAATCAATATTGATCAAGAATGTTGAGATCCACACAATGTGCCGCTGTCAGTGCTGTGCAGCATTCAAACTCCAGCTCTCTGAAATATAATAATGCAACATTATTAACAGAATCAAGAACAATCTCTGTTATTTTAAGATGTTTACTGTGAATCCTGTAAAGCACATTCTCAGTGAGTTATTAACAGTTAACTAATACTTAGTTATAGTATACTAATACTTATACTAATGTGTATCAATTCAGTCTGAACTAACAGTACAGCAGCATTGCTCCAGCAGGTAGTAGGTATGGTTGCTACATATAGTTAAAGCACATACATACAGTAATCAACAAATATTTAGAATTTCTAAACTAGAGGCATCACATTACTGAGTATTGTTGGTGTAACAGATGAAATATCCTCCTGCTGTCCAGATTCAATATATAATATCAAACCAGACAGTTGGTTGTTACCAGTGTTAAACTCAATGTTTAAAAAGCTGTGCAATGATTAACTCACTCTGGTGGTTCAGGACAGACAACAGTCAGATAGTGTTTCCAGTATAAATCCACTGAAGGTAAACTGATTCAACCTGAGACAAACTGTACATGAACAGTGTTCTACCACAGCATCAGATCATCACACATGAGAGTCCATTCAGACCTTAATGTGAACTGCACATTAACTTCATAAAAATAAAATGAATAAAAATCAGAGAGCAGAGAGAGAACTGAAGGAGCTGATGATCAGAAACACAGAGGTGAATGTTTTCACCTAAATCAATGTTTTTTATTTTATATATGATATATATTATATATGAAAGTGGACTCAGGTTGACAGAAACACAGAGCAGTGTAACAGTGAATGTATTCATTCTATAAATATGATAAAGATTAGATTTTGTTGTTGAACCCTGCTGACACTGCTGACTTTGAGACATTCTGCTTCTTTACTTTAATGCTCTTATTTTAGAATTACATGTTGAATTCATCAGTTGAGTAGTGCACTGATTGTTACAGCTGATATTTACAGTATATATTCACAGTATAAACAGAGGTTGAACCTGACTCAACTATGGGCACATTGTTACACCCCCTGTATATGGGGTAGGAGCGCAACATACAAGTGAAGAGGAAATAATAACAATGAATAAGTTTCCCTTCCTGATCCCCAAACCAAAAACTAACACAGGTTTAACAAACAAGTGAACTGATTTATTTACAGATGTGAAACCAGAAGTGCAACAAAAACCAGGAACAATCTTCAGGCCAAAACAACAAATAAAGCAGATCTAACTCTCTCAAACAAAATGCTGACTAATTCCTGAATGGCAGTTCATCCCTACACACCCACTATATACAACCATAGGAAAACAATAATCTTTATAACTCGCCAATCGTTGCCAACAATGTTCTTACGACTACACACAGTTTCTCATTGGTCCGGGGGGACAGAATGATGCTGCTGCCAGGTTTTCTGACCCGACTGATGTGAGGCCAGATGTTTAAAACATGGCGGATGTTGCAGATGTCACAGGGGGAACCAACCAGCAACAGACACGTAATTAACCAGTCAGGAGGAGACCTATGGGTTGCCGTCAAAGATCCCTACTGAGACAGGCTGCACACTCCTGTAGAAAACAGGGACAAAACACAGAGCACACCACAGCAGAAACAATACAAAACAATAATACAGTCAGGGACGAAACAACATTAAAAGGTCATAAATCACAACCTACAGCCAATCAGAACGTAGTTTCAGACCTGGATATTAAGTGCACAAAATAAAACCAATTGTCTCTTCATCTCTCTTTTTCCTCCCAGTGGGAAAAGAAGCTCAAGGAGGAGAAGAAGAAAAGGGAGGAAGCTGAGAAAAAAGAGAACGCAAAGAAGGAGCTGAAGAACAGGGTACATGTTTTACCCTTTATTAATGGAGCAGAGTTTTCCTCTCACTTTCTTTTAAACTTCTTCATAAAATATTGAACTAGGACATTTACAATCTTAAACAACACATCATGATCACCACCTGTCCATATTACAAGCAGTCAGTATAATTATTAATGTCTAATTGTTCCCACTTTCACCTTTTCATTGACTTTGTGTGTTTTTAACGTCTGTAATCTACCTGCTGTCAGTCTGAACTGTTGCTGAACTATTCTAATATCAGAATCAAAATTACAATTGATCACATTTATCTCCATCGCTGTCGTAAAAAGAGAGAAAGATTTCACTTATCAAGAAAACTCTACAACAGTCAAATGTCTAAAGACACAATGTGTTTGACAACATCCATCTGTCTGTCTGTTAGCTAGTTGGTTAGTCCTGAATGATATGTGTGTGTGTTGTCTCCCTCTCATTAGGTTGCAGTGGAGGAGAACAACACCAGCTCGGCCAGTCAGAGCTCAACCACAGTACCCGACGTTGAGGTCGACCAACACGGCAAATATATTCGTCTCAGGAACTGGTCCAATGAGGTAATGTTGTCTGTGTGTGGATGACCACTGTATGAGTTCTGTATAAGTCTGGACTACAATAATATTCCAAATAATGAGCTGTTAGTTCCCCCACAATCCATTTGCTCTTGTTTTCATGTAAAGAGGGAAATGACATTGAATCATTGAATAAACACAATGGATTCAATAAGTGTAACACTGTAACATTAGTTTGTTCTCATCCTCCCTCTCACCCAATGTCACTGCAGGAGCAACAACTGGGAGGATGGAGGTTAGAAGTCCGGTTAAATAAGACAGAATCCTTCATGTACACATTTGAGAACTCAATCAAACTACAGGCTGGAAACACTGTCACTGTGAGTCTTTCATTCATGTTTGTCCTTCTATCATTTCTTTCTTTCTTTCTGTCTTTCTTTCTTTCTTTCTTTCTTTCTTTCTTTCTCCATTGTTGTTGAGTCCCATTTGAAATTAAAAAATAAATAATATTAATAATAATGCACAAGTGTATTTGTAAGCCTGTAACATTTGCATTTTGCAGTTGTGGGCTCCAGGTCGTGGTACCCATTATCCTCCCACTGACCTGTTGTGGAGTGACCTGAAGTTGAGCCCTGGAGACAAACTGCAGGTCACTCTCATCAGCAACACTGGAGACATTCACCATAACTCAGATCATATTATCTCTGGAAGATAATATTTATTAGACAATATTATTTTATTTTATAGACATATATTTTATTGTGAAATCAACAACATTTGATCTTTTATATTTTATGTTTGTTTAAAATGAGGCAACAGGTTTGCTTTTATTTTTTGCTACTCTTCATTGATTAGTAAGAATAAAAATCTTAAATATTGAATTGCTAGCCACGGGGTTAGGACTGAAGGTAAAATAAACTGGAATGCAACTTTTGTTCTGTATTTTTACTGAATTGAATCTATATGTTAACATTTATTCTCCATTGACACACACAGTTTCTGGTTTGGACAGTAAAGATATTATTTTTTATTCTGTTTTGTATTGTTTGTAAATGAGTTCATACTCTCAGTTTAGAATTATCTGCTCCATGTTTCTGTAATAAAGAGGTTTATTTCAACCCTGTGGCACTTTCAATAGTCCAAATGCTGATTAATTATTCTCTTAATTATTAATGATTCTTGACAATATTTGCTTTGAGAAATATCAAATTGTTTTTATTATAATAATAATTATTATTATTATTTGTCCTATATATAAAAATAAACAATTGTATATTTAAAGATATTTTTCAATTTTTTTATTGCACAGTTGTCCAAACAGTTTTGCATATTAAAAGGAGGAGAACATAAAAGGAGTGATCTGAGGAGGGACAAGTCTCTGTGTGAAGAGCTGCAAAGACAAGAGGATATATGTGCTGTAACAGCATGGCAGTATTAACAGTGTGTCACAGGTTGTCTCTAAGGGCTGCTGTAGCATTACTCTGGTACATACTGAACATCTATCAGGTTGCTGTTCTGCTTTTTATAGAACCATTAGAAGATAAACAGTGCAATGTCTCACCTCTGACAGCCAACCAGCTCTCTGCTGATTCTCCAGCTCCAGAGATCTTACACTTGTAGAGTCCTTCATCAGACTTGGAAACACTGTGGATGATCATCTCTCCTGTAGAGCTGCTGCCCATGAGGAGGCCATCTTTATAGAAACCAGCTGTGAGGTTGGAGGAAGTCGTCTTGTTTCTGCAGCTCAGAGTCACATTGTTGCCCTCTTTCCAGTAGCGGTTTCGGTCAATGGCAAAGCGGGCAGACGCCCAGGGCGGCATTTTTTCATGAGAGATGGCATGACAAGCACTTAAAAAAAAAAAAATCCACTGCGCCATGAAGCGGTTTTCTATGTGCTATATCATACCACTGTGTGGGGAATTGGCAAATTGGCACCCCCTACAGCTGCAAGCGCCCCTGCTTGCTGAGAAGGTACTGTGCAATGAAGCTATGTGGAGAAGGGGGGGCAGTTCACCTCTTGGTCTCCCTAATGGAACGGACAAGGGGGGAATGGGGGATCCACTGTAAGTCAGTCACACCTCGACTTTCTTCCAAATAACGCACATTTCATTCATAATATAATAGATACAGGCCTATAGTTCATATTTGGCATGCCGTTTAGGAAATTAATCTTTGAATATAATGAATGAATCTTTGAATATATTGAATGAATCTTTGAATATATTGAATGAAACTTGACTGACGTCATCAAGGCACTGCTGCCATGTTGTATTTCATATATATATATTTAGGTAGACACAAAATGTTTAACATATGTATCACACTGAGGTCTTTTCCTCCACAGTTAAAGCAGTTTTTAATCAATAATTGGTAGCATAAACACGTGTTTAAGTTGATTACTCCAACTAGTTTATCCATGTTGTTTATATCAACATTACTAAAATAATGTTTGCAACCAAAAAGTTTTTATTTAAATCAATAAAGTTTTATTGACATGAATATTAAAACCACCTACAATAATTACCTTATCGGTTTTAGGGACTAAACTTATTATAATTTAGTTTAGGATTAATTAAAATGGTTCATTATATATGTAGCAGACCAGTAAAGTTTATGAGCTGCTGATATGAGGGAACTGTCCCGTTTCAACTTGGGTCCTGGTTCCTCTTGAGTTCCCGCCGTTGCCATGCCAACCGTGACGTCAAAGCAGCTCCCAGGTCAATTTCGGTTTCATTACTGGTTGTGACGCAGAATTAAATCAATTTCACCGTGACTTCAACCTGTCTGCAGTTGTTACAGGTAACTCATAAATATATCAATATATCGATCTCTGATTGGTAAAAACATTGAGCTTATTCTGCTCTGATGATGATATCAGTTAACATGTTCTCTTGCGTTAGTAGAACCGGATCAGGAAAGGAAAAGATAACCATGCCGCGCGTGCTGCGATCATACACGCCGGTTTATTATGGTATGGACACGGACGTAATTGGGGGGTCCCGGGTCCCGGGTCCCCTGCAGTTTTTACCGTCCAAAAACAATGTTACTCTATCGTAAACAGAGACTCGTCAAGCACTAGGACCAAGAGCTGAAGCCTGTTAGTTTAGACCCGCCCACAAGCTGCCGTTTCTTGTGTGATTGGCCGTCCCCGCTGTCACTCCATCTTGCTTGCACACCGGTCTGCTAGTTGCGGGGTTTGCTCTGCCAATATCAGAGGTTTCATTTACATTAACGTTTTAATCGGTGTCCATGTGCGTGTGTGTGTGTGTGTGTGTGTGTGTTTGGTAATGTGATGTCTAAAAAAAAGAAAAGTGGACACACTTGCTATGAGTCAGTGTGAGCACAGAGAGGAGGGAGTCCCTTCCTCTAAAAGCACTCTGTTCGGGGAACATGACACACCTGGACCTGGACCTGAACCTGAACATGAACCTGGACCTGGACCTGAACCTGACCCCAGCTGTGTGTCCATGAAGAGTGATGAGTCCATGAAGAATCCTCTTGTTTTTAGACAACATGCTGATGGAAGGTAAAAATGTAAACCTGACTAAAAGTCATTTGTGACACAATGTTTGTGTCTGTGTTAAAAGACTGAATATATTCTTCACCAGTTTCTACCCAACATGTATCACAATGTATCTGTGCTGTTTCTGTTTCAGGCTCCAGCAGCCAGACTGTCCTGAACCCAGCTGTCTGTCCTTCAAGAGTGACAGGTCAAAGATAGATATGATTGAGTTTAAAGGAGTCCCTCCGTCGGCTGATCAGAGGTAACCTGTAACTGGCAGTAAGAGTTGGGTTATGGTAGAAAATAATAAATAATGTAAAATACGTATGTAGGACGTCTCGTCAGACCACGTCTGAAAAGTGTTGTGTAAAGCCGATTGTCAAGGAGAGGGTGGAGACATGATATCATGTAAATATGATAACAGACCACAGTCTCTCCTGAAAACATTCACAGTGATGACTTCAGAAATAGTTGTGTGTAGAATGAAAAAGACCGGGGGGGTTAGGGTTAGGCACAGAGCAGCTGGAGGCTCTATCTATGTGCCTTGCTCCAGGCTGTACAGTGTACAGTGAGGGAGGGAGAGCTATATGGAGGGGTTGGTGAGAGCTGTTGGGGCTGAACCAAACTGAGCTGTTGATTCTCAGTGGGATCAGCAGGACTAGTAAACCTTTACCACTACAGGGAGTCATCAGATTCACTGTTCACATCCAAATATCACTTCATGGACCTTTACCTTGTGTTTGTCTCTGTGTGGACAGACATAATGTGAGCTCATTCTTCATGATTCCTCCACAGAGTGGACCAGGAGAGCTCAGAGGTTCCCAGTGGTCAGTCTGCCCAGCAGCATCAAACACACCTGGACTCCATATTTATGGTCTGTACATGGACAACAACTACTTTTACATCTATTGTATTCACAATAATCTCCATGCTGCTCTTTTTAGACCAGTGGATTGTCAGTCCAACATGGATCTGATGTTTGCTTCCATGATTGAGTCATTCATATAATATTCTGTTCCAGCTGCTGGAGGACAACATTGTCACTTTTGTGAAGAACGAGCTGAAGAAGATCCAGAAGGTTCTGAGTTCAGATTACCAAGAATGCTTAGAGAGTCAGAGGGAGAATGAGGAGGTGTTGGACAGCGAGGATGAAGAGCACAGGAAGAGCAGCAGAGAGGCATTTCTGAAGATCACACTGCACTTCCTGAGGAGAATGAAGCAGGAGGAGCTGGCTGGCCATCTGCAGAGCAGTAAGAGGATTTCTGTAAAGATTTAACTCGCTGGATAAATGAGACATTTACTGATGTCTCAACAGAAGGACCAAAATATATTCACATACTCATTATTTAAGGAAATAAAATGTTAAAATATTTTCTTGTGTGTTCATTCAGGACATCCACTTTGTTTCCAGCGTGAACTTAAATCCAACTTGAAGAAGAAGTTCCAGTGTGTGTTTGAGGGGATTGCTAAAGCAGGAAACCCAACCGTTCTGAACCAGATCTACACAGAGCTCTACAACACAGAGGGAGGGACAGCAGAGGTCAATGATGAACATGAGGTCAGACAGATTGAAACAGCATCCAGAAAACCAAACAGACCAGAAACAACAATCAGACAAGAAGACATCTTTAAACCCTCACCTGGAAGAGATAAACCAATCAGAACAGTGATGACAAAGGGAGTGGCTGGCATTGGGAAAACAGTTTTAACACAGAAGTTCACTCTGGACTGGGCTGAAGACAAAGCCAACCAAGACATACAGTTCACATTTCCATTCACTTTCAGAGAGCTGAATGTGCTGAAAGAGAAAAAAGTTCAGCTTGGTGGAACTTGTTCATCACTTCTTTACTGAAACCAAAGAAGCAGGAATCTACAGGTTTGAAGAGTTCCAGGTTGTGTTCATCTTTGACGGTCTGGATGAATGTCGACCTCCTCTGGACTTCAACAACACTGAGATCCTGACTGATGTTACAAAGTCCACCTCAGTGCATGTGCTGCTGACAAACCTCATCAGGGGAAAACTGCTTCCCTCTGCTCGTCTCTGGATAACCACACGACCTGCAGCAGCCAATCAGATCCCTCCTGAGTGTGTTGACATGATGACAGAGGTCAGAGGGTTCACTGACCCACAGAAGAAGGAGTACTTCAGGAAGAGGTTCAGAGATCAGAAGCAGGCCAACAGAATCATCTCCCACATCAAGACATCACGAAGCGTCCACATCATGTGCCACATCCCAGTCTTCTGCTGGATCACTGCTACAGTTCTGGAGGATGTGTTGAAGACCAGAGAGGGAGGAGAGCTGCCCAAGAGCCTGACTGAGATGTTCATCCACTTCCTGGTGGTTCAGTCCAAACTGAAGAACGTAAAGTATGATGGAGGAGCTGAGACAGATCCACAATGGAGTCCAGAGACAAGGAAGATGATTGAGTCTCTGGGAAAACTGGCTTTTGAGCAGCTGCAGAAAGGCAACCTGATCTTCTATAAATCAGACCTGACAGAGTGTGACATCGATATCGGAGCAGCCTCAGTGTACTCAGGAGTGTTCACACAGATCTTTATAGAGGAGAGAGGACTGTACCAGGACAAGGTCTTCTGCTTCGTCCATCTGAGTGTTCAGGAGTTTCTGGCTGCTCTTCATGTCCATCTGACATTCATCAACTCTGGAGTCAATCTGCTGGCAGAACAACAATCAACCTCCCAGAAGTTTGAAACAAGAAAAGATGAATCTGCAGAGACACAATTCTACCAGAGTGCTGTGGACAAGGCCTTACAGAGTCGAAATGGACACCTGGACTTGTTCCTCCGCTTCCTCCTGGGCCTTTCACTGCAGACCAATCATAATCTCCTACGAGGTCTGCTGACACAGACAGGAAGTAGCTCACAGACCAATCAGGAAACAGTCCAGTACATCAAGAAGAAGATCAGTAAGAATCTCTCTGCAGAGAGAAGCATCAATCTGTTCCACTGTCTGAATGAACTGAATGATCATTCTCTAGTGGAGGAGATCCAACAGTACTTGAGTTCAGGAAGTCTCTCCATAGATAAACTGTCTCCTGCTCAGTGGTCAGCTCTGGTCTTCATCTTACTGTCATCAGAAACAGATCTGGATGCGTTTGACCTGAAGAAATACTCTGGTTCAGAGGAGGCTCTTCTGAGGCTGCTGCCAGTGGTCAAAGCCTCCAACAAAGCTCTGTAAGTACAGACAGAGTTGGATTTATTGGTCACATTTTAAAGAGTCTGCTATATTTTCTGCTATATAACAGGAAATAATAAACCTTACTACTTTTATTTTCCTTTGTATTGTCTCTACAGACTGAGTGGCTGTAACCTCTCAGAGAGAAGCTGTGCAGCTCTGTCCTCGGTTCTCAGCTCCCAGTCCTCTAATCTGAGAGAGCTGGACCTGAGTAACAACAACCTGCAGGATTCAGGACTGAAGCTCTTGTCTACTGGACTCAAGAGTCCACATTGTACACTGGAAACTCTCAGGTCAGGATTAATCAGTTACCATTTCTGTTCAATAAATGGAGATATTCCTCACCTGAGTAAGGTCTTTAGTTAGTTTCTAGACTCTATCCATGTCTGCCCTCAGTCCCTTCCCTTCCTTCAGCAACCAAAAAACCTACATCAATGGCCATGTTTGTCCTTGCTGTCAATCACACGCAAAACTGGAAAAACACACAACATGAAATCTAAAGATAAAGGTGTGTGTGTGGTTACGTGCCAGAAGGAATGTGTTTTTGTTTTGAAAATATGTTCAGCTGAGCCAGAAACATTATGTTGGTCAGAGATAAAGGAACATGTCAGGCAGAATTTTGTATCTGCGTGTGTGGTTTTGTTTTTGTGTGTGTGAAATTAGATTAACAGTGTGTTAAACAGAATTAAGAATTAAGTCTAACAGTCCTTGCTGGTCCTTGTAAAGTCAGATGGCAGGCTTTGTGTTTGTAACCATGTTTACTCTCATTAGCAGCATGCAAACCATGAACCTTAAGGAAAAGGGCAGAGTCTTCATATTTAAAGGTCCAAGTAGTCTAAAAAGCAGTGTTCTAGTGAAGGATGCGCTGCTTCAAGAGTAGTAGGGCGCCAACAGGAGACAACACAGCAGCTGGGTACATAAGGCCAGGTTACTGTAATACCATGTGATGATAGAAGTAATGAGCTCAACAGTAGGCTTCGGTACTGTTGTATTGCAGTAACCTTCATAGCACCCTCAGTTTGTGTTGTTTTGTGTGTTTTTCAGGCTGTCAAGCTGTCTGATCACAGAGGAAGGCTGTGCTTTTCTGGCCTCAGCTCTGAACTCCAACCCCTCCCATCTGAGAGAGCTGGACCTCAGCTACAATCATCCAGGAGACTCAGGAGTGGCGCTACTGTCTGCTGCACCAGAGGATCCACAGTGGAGACTGGACAGTCTCAGGTATGGAGAGGTCTATTGATAGATAGATAGATAGATAGATAGATAGATAGATACTTTATTTATCCCGAGGGAAATTCAAGTATCCAGTAGCATACAAAATACAAAACATACATTAAACATACATTAGACTAAAATTTTAACGCCTAACCTTAAGAATAGAATTAAAAATAAAATAGGAGATAAAATATAAAGTATACATTAAACATGCATGAGGCTAAAATTAAAATCCCTAACCTTAAGAATAGAATCAAAAATAAAATAGAAGATACAATATATATATATATATATATAAAATTAACAGTAGCTACAATAAACGGTGTAAAACAGTAAACAGTAAGATAGAAATTGTCCATTCCTATCGGTATTTTGCACATCAATTTGCACAGTTTTTTTTTTTTCAGCAAACTGTTTGTGTCTTACATCAGATGATCAGTCAGAATTAGTCAGGGAACAGTAACCAGCATCGTGCCAAGGTGAGGTGATGAAATTGCTGTTTATCGAGAGCGACAGGTCCCGATAATAATGCCTAAAATGATGTCCAAAAAAGACAAGAAGAAACACACTAAAAGTAGAAACCTCGACGAAGAGGAGGATGATAAGATATCACAAGCTCGCAGCAATATGGAGGAAGACGAGCACGTGGACACGGACTCGGAGCTAAGCCACGGCGTACACCTAGGTGTTATTCTAAAAGAGCTGTGAGAATTCAGGAGAGACTCCACTCAGCAATTAAACAGCATTAAAGAAGATATTAACAACATGAACAAAAGAGTGGAAGAAATCGAGGAGCAGATCACTACGGCCGAGACACGGATCCAGTCAATGGAGGATGTATTGGCGCAGCTGGCGAAACTTCAGGAGCAGATGGAAGCTAAATCAGGCTACATGGGGTAAAAGAAGGAGCTGAAGATAATGTCACCACAATGATTTCTTTTGTGAAGGATTTATTAATGAAGGGCTCCCCCCCACTACTGCACTACATATTTAGAGAGCGCACCGGACGCTCGCGCCGAAGCCCCCGACCGAAACGCTGTCGAGATCCATTGTGGACAAGTTTTCAAGTTACAGAACGAAGGAGGACATGCTGAGAATAGCCTGGGAGTGGAAGGGGTTTGATTTTCAAGGAAAGAGGGTACACCTGGATCACGACTACGCACCGGAGCTGCTGAGGAAGCAAAGGGAATATAAAGAGGTGAAAGCCGCCCCTGAAGGAGAAAAATATAAGATTTCAGACTCCGTTTCCGGCCAGACTGAGGGTGTTTTACGGTACGGTCATCTATAACTCGGCGGAGGTGGCGACGGCAGACATGGCAGAGAGGGGGGATATCGGTGACCATTTTAAAAACTCTGACGTCCCTCCTGGACCGAGTCAGCCAGCTGACTTGGCGATACGGCGGAAGACACAGTAAACATGGTACCTGCGAGGATACAGGCTCCACGCAAAGGGATTGGCTTGGACTGGTTTACAGGCTAAAAAAGCGACAAGCAGAAAACACAATTTTCAAAATAAAGGACCCTACAACAAATTCTATACACTGTAAAACTAAAGAAATTCATCAATCATTTGAAACCTTTTATAAAAAACCTATACTCTCAGCCTAGAATAGATGAAACAAGGATGGATGCTTTCTTCAACCTGATAAAATTACCAAAAGTGAAGGATGATCAAAATAGGGCTCTAATCGGGGTAATTACAGATGAAGAAAACTTGAAACCAAATAAGGCTGCTGGTCCAGATGGGTACCCATCTGAGTGGTATAAGGAAATGAAAGACCTCCTGATTCGTATGATGAAGTCACATATAATCATGTACTCAAGACTGGCATAACTCCACCTTCTTGGAGAGAAGCAGTGATTTCTTTAATACCGAAAGAGGGTAAAGATATGCTTGATTGTGGCAGCTATCAGCCGATAAGTGCACTGAACCAGGACTATAAGATCATCACTCATATTTTGGCAAAAAGACTTGAAAACATCCTTCCCCAGATAATAAGTTTGGATCAGACAGGTTTTCTACAACAAAGGCAGACTCAGGACAATATCCGTAGAAAACTCCATGTTACCGAACATATAGTTAAAAATAACACCCAGGCAGTCTTGCTGAGCCTTGACGCAGAAAAGGCTTTCGATCGGGTCAATTGGGAGTTTCTATTTAGCGTATTATGGAAATTTGGATTTCATCAGACTTTTATCATGACCATTCGAGCACTATATAATGACCCAAGGGCAAGGGTAAAAATAAATGAGAAAATCTCAAGCTCATTTGGTCTGGAAAGAGGGACTAGAAAGGGGGTCCGTGTATGTTTTGGTCATTGGATTTTCCTTTCAGAAACGGGTATTAAAAAACAGAAAACGAGTGCTTATTTGATTTTCGTTTTAAAATACAAAAATTAAAATTGAAATACAAGGCGTTTTTCTTTTTCATGGTCAGAAAGGGATGAGCGAAATTTAAAAAATTATTCGATTTTCATTTTCTATTTCATATAACAAAAAATAAAATCACTAGAAAACAGAAACAGAAAAAAGGCCTGTTGTTTCATATTCTGAGACCGGATGTTGTCATTTACAGGACGGTGCTGTGTAGAAGAAACAGTAGGCTAGTAGACTGCGGTCAATCCAGCCGTGAGTCCGATCTCCGTGGTCAAATCAGCCGCACTTAAATTTAGAGTGTACAAGTATTCTCAGCATTATGGTAAATGCGGAGAAACAGCGTATTTACTTCTGGTTTTCAAAATAAAGGTATTTAGAACAGTAAGCTATAATTAAAATATGTTACATTAAAGTCTTGTGCCACTGATGAATAAAAAAAAACTTTATATCAAGTATCTTTACTGCACCAGTGTGGAGAAATGCCAAAATAAAAGTCTCATATTTATGCCTCCAGAGATTGCATATTTGACCATATTTGAGGTACTGTAAAAACATATTACTCAGTGTTTCCTGGCTACTGATGGTATATTTGACTTTTACACATATGAGAGTACAAACATACTTAATATCAAGCATTTTTACTGTACCAATTTGGAGAAATTGAAGAATAAAAGTCCCATATTTATACTTCCAGATTCCATATTTTCTTATATTTTTGAGCTACTGTAAAAACATATTGCTCAACATTTCCAGGCTATGGGTGAAGCATTTTCATTATACTTCAATAATGCTGCAGTAATCATGACAAAATTTCACACAAATGTTTAACATCTTGATAATATAAACACTAAACACTAAACACAAAATCCTACACAATTCTAATTTGTTTACTTTTCACACAAAATGAAATGCCAGTCCACATTCTTCTTATTTTGCTGCTCTGCTGTGTCCATTTGTAGGTAAAAGGGAAAAAGAATTAGGTTTAACTTCAAAACACCATTGTACCTACTGTCTCTTCCTCACATATTATTTTTTATATTATTCAGTGTGACAGCTGTTGCAGGTGGTTCCACATACAGTTTTTTTTTACAGTAGCTCAAATATAAGAAAATATGGAATCTGGAAGTATAAATATGGGACTTTTATTCTTCAATTTCTCCAAATTGGTACAGTAAAAATGCTTGATATTAAGTATGTTTGTAGTCTCATATGTGTAAAAGTCAAATACACCATCAGTAGCCAGGAAACACTGAGCAATATGTTTTTACAGTAGCTCAAATATGGTCAAATATGCAATCTCTGGAGGCATAAATATGAGACTTTTATTTTGGCATTTCTCCACACTGGTGCAGTAAAGATACTTGATATAAAGTTTTTTTTTATTCATTAGGGGCGCATAAAACACTTTAATGTAACATATTTTAATTATAGCTTACTGTTCTAAATACCTTTATTTTGAAAACCTATATACGCTGTTTCTCCGCATTTACCATAATGCTGAGAATACTTGTACACTGGACATTTAGGTGCGGCTGATTTGACCACGGAGATCGGACTCACGGCTGGATTGACCGCAGTCTACTAGCCTACTGTTTCTTCTACACAGCACCGTCCTGTAAATGACAACATCCGGTCTCAGAATATGAAAAAACAGGCCTTTTTTCTGTTTCTGTTTTCTAGTGATTTTATTTTTTGTTATATGAAATAGAAAATGAAAATCGAATAATTTTTTTAAGTTCGCTCATCCCTTTTTGACCATCAAAAAGAAAAACGCCTTGTATTTCAATTTTAATTTTTGTATTTTAAAACGAAAATCAAATAACCACTCGTTTTCTGTTTTTTAATATCCGTTTCTGAAAGGAAAATCCAATGACCAAAACATACACGGACCAAAGGGCTGTCCAATTAGTCCTCTACTTTTTGCAATATTTATTGATTTATTGAAGCTTTAAGCCAAAGGATTACTCAAGATAATAGCATTACAGGTATAAAAAATGCTAGGACTAGAACATAAAATATCTGTTTGTGGACGACATTTTAATCTATTTGTCACACCCAGAGACTTCAATATTGAAACTAATGTCTTTTCTGGATGTCTTTGACGCAGTCTTGGGGTACAAATTGAATAGTCAAAAGACCCAAATACTTAGTTAAGGGACTCCAAGTAGTTAAGACGAATAGTAACATCTACATTAAACAAAAAAGCGAAACCAACGGTTGCATCACAGAGGAAGTCTGGACCAAATATTGTGAATTTCAGTGGAAGATATCAAGCTCAATCTCTTGGAGAGTGTTTGGCTGGAAGAGTCTCAGCAGATATTTTATTTCACCTGTTCAGCAGTCTCATCACTCAGGTTCCTCCAGTTGCTGGAGAAAATGTGGTTCTCAGGAAGCAAACCATTACCACTTGTTCTGGGCCTGTCCAATTGTAAATGTTTTCTGGCATAAGGTCTACACAGAATTAGTGATGATATTTGGAACGAAAATTGCTTTTAATTGGGACGAACTTCTCTTTGGTTTTCTACACTCAACATCTGTAAATAGTAAAACAAAATACTTGTTTGGTATTCTGAGCGTAGCTGCTAAAAAAGCAATTACAAAGAAATGGCTTAAGCCAAATAGCCCATCTATAGAGGAATGGTATGACATTATTTACGAGATCTATGTTATGGAAATAATTACCTTTTCTGTGAGACTAGAGAAAACTTGATTTGAGGAAATTTGGGAAAAGTGGAAAATGTATATTGCTCCTAAACGCCCTTCTTTTGTTTAACTGCTCGTAATTTTTTATTTTATTCTCGCCTTAGCATATATATTTTTATATATAAAAAAAATTGTAAGGTGAATCACTGTATATTTCCATCAAACTATGTGGAATGTGTTAAGTGTGATTCTAAATAAAGAGAAAATGAAAAAAAAGAAATTGCTGTTTATCTAACCTCCTCCATAAGAGGTTTTGTGGCTCTGCTGCAATTTCAGGCTACTTTCTCTGAAAGACTATCAGCTGATTAATAATAAGTGCTCTATGTGAAGATGTAAGTCCATTTATAGAGAATAACCTCTGTGTATGAGAGCGATGTAATGTCCATGTTTCCATGCTGCTCTGACCCCCCTCCTCCTTTCAGGGTGGAGCCTGCTGGAGTCCGATGGTTGAGACCAGGTCTGAGGAAGTGTAAGTGTGAAAACAAAGCAGCACACATTCAACCATCTTCACACTGTGACATCACTCATTCACAGCTCTGATGTCATCATCAAACTGCCAATCAATGATCAGCAGATAGTACCCTGATTCCAAAACTGAATGCATTTGCAATTTGCCAATCCCGTTTGACCTATTTTCAATTGAAAACAGTACAAAGACAAGATATTTAATGGTCTAATATCTAGAAATGTAATATTCACAGGTATGTTATCATTAGTGAATAATCAGCTGAAAATAAGTATAATAAATAAAAATGATGAATAACTGTTACCTTAGAATGAGATGTACAGAGGGAGCGGGTCCTATTCCGGTGGAATCCGCCATGTTGAACTGGTATGTTTCATGTTTTGCCCAGAACGGACAAACCATACACTGACTCTAGACAGGTACTTTCACATTTTTCACGAGTTTCGTGGCCATCATAGTTTCTTCGTCGTGCTAGGAAAAAGAGGGTGAGGAGAAGGGTTTGCAATTAGCAAATACAATACTAGATGCCACGAAATCCTACAGACTCGACTTTGATGATCAAAATGATTGTTTAAGTTAAAGGTGAAATTTAACATTCTTACTTAAATATTCGTTATAATTGCTGAACAGTTCAGGGTCTCCATTGTCCATTTTGCGCTTCATAATGCGCCACACAGTTATCCCAGAAGACACATCGTTGATATCCAAAAACAGTTTGAAATAGGGACTCATTAGACCACAGCACACTTTTCCGGATGTTGATGATATACAGTACAACTATCACTTTGCATGGTAGAGTCTTAACTTGTATTTGTAGATGCAGCGCTGAACCTGGGCCCATGTAGAAATATCCTTTATACAATCATGCTGTTTTTTAATGCAGTCCCACCTGAGTGATCGAATGTAACAGAATCAGAATCAAAATCAAGTTTATTGCCAATTAGGTTTCATATACAAGGAATTTGCCTTGGTATACTGATGCAGTGCTGTGGTTGTTAAACATGAAGTCGATCCAATCCAACTCCCTAGGAATTAAGTACAGCGTGTGCTCCAGGTTGTTCTGGCTGCACTAGGTCACCAGATGGTCAATCTCCCACCTGTAGGTGGACTCAACTCCACCAGAAGAGTCTGGTGAGGGTATTATCATCTGCCAACTTCATGAGCTTGACTGACTGATGATTGGTTTTTGGCCCCTTTAGGTGCAGAGATTTCTCCAGATTCTCTGAATCTTTTAATAATATTATGGATTGTAGATGATGAAAACAATTCCTTGAAACAGTGTTTAGAAACACTGTTCTGAAAAAGACCCCCTCTAGTGGTTAGGGTTTAGGCTACCTGAACTTTGCCTCACTCCACCATGACTCATGAACACGCCAAGATTATGCCCTCTTTCTAACACACATCTGCTAGATTCACCTGGAAAAGATGTATGTTACATCTCTATTCCCAGTCCAGCTGTCATTGGTGAAGTGCATCTAGCACAAGTCAGTAAAGGGGTTGAATATAGCTTTCATCGTTGTAGCACTGGTTTTCTAATCATTTCCTCTGGTATATTTTAGTCAACTGTATTACTATTAATTGAGTGTCATGGAATATTTTTAGTATAAGTCGGAAGCAAAGCAGATAAGTTTGCTTTGGTTGGTAGTTTGCAACATGTTTCTAACATTACTGTACTGAACAGAAATGTGGAGATTACATAAAGAGGCATTAGCTCCTCAGCTCTGTCGCCAAGCTACATCTTCTTCACAGTTGTTCTTAAACTGTTGGACTATTAGCCCTCATACTTTTTACAGACCATCCTTGCTTGTGAACCACTGAGCCTTTCCAGGATGCCCCTTTCATACCCTATGATGACACTGTCACCTGCTACCAATTAACCTGTTAATGATGAACCTAAGTTCTTTCATTTGAATGATATACAGTGGGTACGGAAAGTATTCAGACCCCATTATTTTTTTCACTCTTTGTTTCATTGCAGCCATTTGCTAAAATCAAAAAAGTTCATTTTATTTCTCATTAATGTACACTCAGCACCCCATCTTGACAGAAAAAAACAGAAATGTAGAATTTTTTGCAAATTTATTAAAAAAGAAAAACTGAAATATCACATGGTCATAAGTATTCAGACCCTTTGTTCAGTATTGAGTAGAAGCACCCTTTTGAGCTTCTACAGCCATGAGTCTTCTTGGGAATGATGCAACAGGTTTTTCACTCCTGGATTTGGGGATCCTCTGCCATTCTTCCTTGCAGATCCTCTCCAGTTCTGTCAGGTTGGATGGTGAACGTTGGTGGACAGCCATTTTCAGATCTCTCCAGAGATGCTCAATTGGGTTTAGGTCAGGGCTCTGGCTGGGCCAGTCAAGAATGGTCACAGAGTTGTTCAAGTCACTCCTTTGTTATTTTAGCTGTGTACTTAGGGTTATTGTCTTGTTGGAAGGTGAACCTTCGGCCCAGTCTGAGGTCCTGAGCACTCTGGAAGAGGTTTTCTTCCAGGATATCTCTGTACTTGGCCGCATTCATCTTTCCTTCAATTGCAACCAGTCGTCCTGTCCCTGCAGCTGAAAAACACCCCCACAGCATAATGCTGCCACCACCATGTTTCACTGTTGGGATTGTATTGGGCAGGTGATGAGCAGTGCCTGGTTTTCTCCACACATACCGCTTAGAATTAAGCCAAAAAGTTCAATCTTGGTCTCATCAGACCAGAGAATCTTATTTCTCATAGTCTGGGAGTCCTTCATGTGTTTTTTGGCAAACTCTATGCAGGCTTTCATATGTCTTGCACTGAGGAGAGGCTTCCGTCGGGCCACTCTGCCATAAAGCCCTGACTGGTGCAGGGCTGCAGTGATAGTTGACTTTGTGGAACTTTCTCCCATCTCCCTACTGCATCTCTGGAGCTCAGCCACAGTGATCTTTGGGTTCTAAAGGGGTCTGAATTCTTTCCGTACCCACTGTATATGTTGTTTCTACTGTATCTATTTGGATATGGGTCAAAAAGGATTTGCAAATCATTGCATTGTGTTTTTATTTAAGTTTTTCACATTTGGAATCAGAGTGATCAATCAATAACTGCAGCTGTATTGTGTCTTGTTCTCTCCATCAGATTCCTGTGAACTCACAGTCGACACAAACACAGTGAACAGAAAGATCAAACTGTCTGACAACAACAGGAAGATGATATGTGGGGAGGATCAGTTATATCCTGATCATCCAGAGAAATTTGACTACTTTCCTCAGCTGCTGTGTAGAAATGGTCTGACTGGTCGCTGTTACTGGGAGGTGGAGTGGAGAGGAGGAGTTTCTATATCAGTGAGTTACAGAGGAATCAGCAGGAGAGGAAATGGAGCTAATGGTTTGTTTGGAAGGAATGGTCAGTCTTGGTGTCTGAGCTGCTATAATGATGGTTACTCTGTCTGGCACAACGACAGAAGAACAGCCATCTCCTCCTCGTCCTCCTCTGGTAGAGTAGCAGTGTATGTGGACTGTCCCTCTGGCACTCTGTCCTTCTACACAGTCTCCTCTGACACACTGATCCACCTCCACACCTTCAACACCACATTCACTGAACCTCTTTATCCTGGATTTGGGTTCTGGTGTGACTGGTCTGACTCCTCAGCATTTCTGTGTTCTCTGTAGGAGGGAGTTTACTGTGATAGAGAGGAAGAGAGAGCAAAGGATGCTGGGATGAAGGGATGAATGTTTGGGGATAATTTGCAGCCTGCAGACGCAGAGATAGAAAAAAACTAAGAAACTATACGAGACAAATCAGACCCGAGGGGGGGGTGCTATCTCAGAATGTAGGTAGGGTCTGAGTTTGAGGGGGGTGCTAGAGGAAAGATAATCTACTCTTTCAAAAATTGTGTTGCCTTAAAACAGGAAGAATAATTACAAGAGTGGCCTCGATTTGAACAAACTAAATTCATCATCTTTGGAAGGAATGTACAAACAAATGTAGTGCCGTTGAACTTCAACATCATTGGGATGATTCTCGATAATAAATGATGCTGGGAACCACATCAATATTGTCAAAGTAAAGAGTCAATGAAAGGCTGTAAAGTTCAGAGAGTTGGTGGATTTCCGAACAGCACAGATATAAAGTCAGACTAATAAGTTTAAGCTTTTACTGATTATTCCTCTGCTGAAGCTAATGACTTCTACATCATTCACTTGATTTTATTGTTGGCATTCCACAATCACAAACCTTCATTTTTGCTATTTTTGACTTTTCTTAAGAGACAGAAACCTCATCCTGCTTACGTAGGTCATAAATGCTCTGTGAATGCACACTCTTCATAACCAATGAGAATCTTTTTTTAAAATGTAGCTGCTTATGTTATTATCATGCATACTCTGTATAAGCAATGAAAGCTTTGAATTTGAGCTACCCTGCAGAACATACTACCCTAGAACAGGTGTTGGTAACCCCATAGCTCCTGCTGAATAAAAGGAATAGTAATACAGAGGGAAAAAGGGTTTTTATGTGTAGATAGGAGACTAAGTTTATTGATTTTTATTATTTTTGTACACTCATCTTTATGTCAGTGAATCAAACCAAGTAGATCATTTTGATCTGTTGATATATATACTATTAAAATAGTATATATTTTACAGTCCATCAGACAATGTTAAACTGATCTACTTTATTATGTATTTATTCAGTCTGTAACCCCCTGTATTTAGATCCTTCTTTTAGTAAAAGTAGTTAGTTATAGTTTTATTGGGCAGAAACAGTCAGTGAAATATACTCAGTTACTGACTACTGTGGTGGCAATTTGTTTAATAAAGCATACAAAGTATGATCTTGTCTTTCTGTAAGGTTTTATTCAAGTCATCCATGAATTGTCTCAACGCAACTGTCACACACTGATCATGTGACTACTTAGAAAGATAGATATTCCTTTATTTGTCCCACAATGGGGAAATTCCAATGTTACAGCAGCAAAGTGGATAGAAAAAAAAAAAACAGTATAAAAACAGTAAGGGTAGGGAAATAATAAAAAACACTGTACAAGAGAAAAAAACAAGAATCCACAACAACAGATAACATAAATAGTAGCAGCAGTTGCACATGGGCAATAGATTGCACAGTGAATATGGTATAACCACACTGAGGCAACTATTGTTTATTTGCCCTGATGAATGGCTGAAACTTTTGCTGTGAGTGAACAGTGATATATTTGAGGCTTTTCAACCCACAGAGATCCAAACTGAAGAGTCGCAGTTTGTGACTGATGGTGAACGAAAGAGTTGTGACCGTCGGTGCCCTCTGGTGGACAAGCTCATAATGCTGTTACTCTGCAACAAGCTGATGTTCTGAAGGAAAAACTGATTTTATATTTGTGGATTATTGTTGAAAGTATCTGAATGAATAAAGATTAACACATTTCAGTTTTCTAATCCAAAAGATTAATCTGAAACACTGTAAATATTCCCATCATGCTTTGCACATGTTTGTTTTCTGGGTAAATAATTGTATCCTCTAAAGGTTTGAACCAAACAATCAGATAATAATCTTTTTGAATTAATGAACATTTATTTGGACAGAAACTCAAACCAGTGATGTTTTAATTACAATGTCAGCCTCTTCAACCTCTAATTCAACTTCACATAATATAACATCTTTTAAATTATAAATATGGAGAATTATCCCACAATCCCCTGCGGCTTCCTGCCAGGTATGCTGCCAGTTGTTGTAATTATGAGTTCCTTACTGGACTCAGCGTAGTTAATTCAGGTAGAATGGCTGAATGGGTAACTCAATCTATAATAATATCAGAATTCAATCAGAATTCATTAACTGATTTATTTTTGTATCAACAATTGGAATATGCAACGTAACTAATAAATATAGTGGAATATAAAGTAAAATACAGTGGAAAAACTCAATTACAGTTTAACTACTAATAATGTTTTATTAAGAACAGAACTGAGGTTAATGTACAGTCCATCATAGTTGCTGAGATATTCAGGGCCAAAGTGGTGGACTTACTGACTGACACTGCCATCCCTAAAGCCACGCTGCCAGCATAGCACACATTCACTAATGTGTTTTCCATTTATGCTCCCTCTCACAATTCAGTTAGGGCCTCCTCTAAAACGAATATATGCCATTTTTCCACATAAACTTTAATCTACCCCGAGAGCCAAAGCCCTTTCCTAAAATATACATACAAAGTGAAACGAAAAGACAAAAAAAAAAAACAAAAAAAAAACACCCCACCTGCACCCGGAATAATGCCTGTTAATATTCAAATATACAGTGGGTACGGAAAGTATTCAGACCACTTTAAAATTTTCACTCTTTGTTTCATTGCAGCCATTTGCTAAAATCAAAAAAGTTCATTTTATTTCTCATTAATGTACACTCAGCACCCCATCTTGACAGAAAAAAACAAATGTAGAAATTTTTGCAAATTTATTAAAAAAAAAAACTGAAATATCACATGGTCATAAGTATTCAGACCCTTTGCTGTGACACTCATATTTAACTCACATGCTGTCCATTTCTTCTGATCCTCCTTGAGATGGTTCTGCTCCTTCATTGGAGTCCAGCTGTGTTTAATTAAATTCAATCAATTAAATTGCTCAGTTTGGCTGGACGGCCAGGTCTAGGAAGAGTGCTGGTCGTCCCAAACTTCTTCCATTTAAGGATTATGGAGGCCACTGTGCTCTTAGGAACCTTGAGTGCTGCAGACATTCTTTTGTAACCTTGGCCAGATCTGTGCCTTGCCACAATTCTGTCTCTGAGCTCCTTGGGCAGTTCCTTCGACCTCATGATTCTCATTTGCTCTGACATGCACTGTGAGCTATAAGGTCTTATATAGACAGGTGTGTGCCTTTCCTAATCAAGTCCAATCAGTTTAATTAAACGCAGCTAGACTCCAGTGAAGGAGCAGGACCATCTCAAGGAGGATCAGAAGAAATGGACAGCATGTGAGTTAAATATGAGTGTCACAGCAAAGGGTCTGAATACTTATGACCATGTGATATTTCAGTTTTTCTTTTTTAATAAATTTGCAAAAATTTCTACATTTCTGTTTTTTTATGTCAAGATGGGGTGCTGAGTGTACATTAATGAGAAATAGCAAACGGCTGCAATGAAACAAAGAGTGAAAAATGTAAAGGGGTCTGAATACTTTCCGTACCCACTGTATCATTAGATATTATTTAGTTGTAAACATAATTCTTTGTTTGAAGTCTTTTGGTTGAAGGGTTAGTAACTACATCTTCTCACAAAGTGACAGCAGAAAAAGTTGTTAAATGCAATGTAATGATATATAATTATATAATAACTGTACTCGTCCTGTACTGCCTAACTTTATTTCCAATCTATTAAAGCGTCTCAAAGTGCAGGTCTACACGGCCATTTCATTTGTTTAATTGTATATTTATATTTATCTTAAATTTGTTATGTTACAGAGTGAACAGGAAACACAAATCGAACAATCTGAGATATGAAGGGCTTGATGTTCATATAGACATATTTCTGTTGACTTCTACTGTGAAACGTTCTATTAATACATAATACACTACAATGAAATGACTAACCACACACAAATAAGTTCAACACAAAGCTTTACAATTCAGCAATATTTCTAATAATTCCTCCTTTCATCACTCAGGTCTCTCTGCTCTTTGTGGCCTGTAAGACAGAAAACACAAAGGATATATGTGTGGTAAAATATTCTAAACTCAAGGGCCACTTTTTTTATAATTACCATCAGTCGTACCTTCCGAACAGGAGAATACAGTTCCTCTTCTGTTGAGTCTTTGGTTGCTGTTGGATTCAGAGATTCAGGCTGTGTTTTAGAAACTAGTGAAATTCATTTTTCATGTTAAGACACAAAAACTGTGATAATTGTTCTCTCCAGCACTCTCATTTTATGAGGTGCAATCCACGTTAAAGTCTCTAAGTGATGCTAACACTCTTTCAGACTGACATTAACTGGATGATGAACTGTTACTTATATCAGCATCTATTTCATTAGCAACAGAAGACATCCCTGTTTCTCATTCTGATTACAGTCCATAGTCTCTCCCAACATTGTGAACATTGTCATTTAACTTGTTGTTATCCAGAAATGATCCAGAGATCATTTGTTACATTGTAAAAACTACAGTTTCCTTGGTCAGCAGTACAGATGTAAACTTGAAACAACCAGCTGATATGAGAATGTAACACATGTAGCAACATGGAGCATCAATATGAACCAGATGCTTAGAAAAATATACATTCTGGGAAATAATCTTAATTTATCACAGTTCTGTGTCGATAGCTTTTAAATCCTCTGTCTATCTTTTTTAGAATTACAGCAAATATGAGCATTGCTGAGGTAAATGACAGTAGCAGTCACTTTGTTGGGGTCAGAAAACTCACAGCTGGAATAAAGATGTGGTATTCAAACACCTGTGGCTGTATTTAAGTGGGAGCATCAGTTAACTGTGTGGGCACATTGGTAGAAAACATGTGAAATTGTCCACAGGCTTTTTAATGATATACGAACCACGCTGGAGAGTTTGTGAAGTCTCACTTTTTTTTAAGGTGGAGTAAATGGGTTGAAGTGAGGACTCATCGTCATCTGAAGGGGAGAAACCAACAGGAAGTAAGAGATCAACAGACAGACAGAGGAACACCACAAATGCTCTTATCAGAATAAAACTGTCAGCGAGCCCCTCTCACCTCCTTCCCTCTGTGGTTTTCTGCTGTGGTTTGTCTCTGGGCTCAAATTATCAACAGCATCTGAGTCTAAAACAAAACAGCACGTATGAGACGCTGAGAGGAGGTAAAAATAATTCAGCCACCAGCTCTACTGTGCAGCATGTCTCAACCCTTACTGGTATCAACACCCCAACTGCCTCTTTCATTATGTAGGGCAGTGAAACCAAACAGCTCGTCTTATTATTCTAGTGTGCTCGGTGGTTAAACCTAATTGAAGATGTTAAAAGCACCTCTTTGTCTCTCAACATTTAGAGTATCACTAATAAATAAGACACAAGTGTTCCATTACAGTCTTGTTGTGTTTCTCACATCATGTTGAAGAAATAAAATGCATAAAGTAAACCTTTATTCTTTCTCTGTTTTGTGATGACGACTGCATACATCACACCAGAGTCCGCTCCAGAGACTGAAACATAAAACCAAATGTTTGTGAAAAAAAATACATTTAAATTATTATAAACACAGACCCAGAAGGTTGTCAGGTAGACAGGGACATAGTTGTACATAAATATACTTCATTAACACCCTATTTACATGGATGATGGACTTTTGTTTGGTCTTTCATTTCAAGTGTTTGATTTTACTTCAAATGTTTTTAGAAATCAGTATGACATGGAGCAATGACAAATCTAAAGTACAGTACAGCCTATGTAACAAGTCTGCTCTCACCGTGTTGATCGTCCTCACCCGACTGTGATGCTGCTGGTGGAGTCTTTGAGGAAAGGCAGAGCATCACTGATGGATAGAAAACAGAGAGGCAGAAAAATAAAAGGAGGTTTTTTTGTAAAATTAAACAATTTTACTCTACTGTGCACTTAAGCCAACAGATGGTTCACACTTGTTCAACTAAGTGCAACATTGTGAGTTGTATAAAAATATAAAATATTTAAGCCTATATATTAACACAAGTTTATGACTCACTTGAATAAGCATTGGAGCTGTTAGCCAAAATATTAACATATCCTCAAAGCTGAGCTAAGGGCAAGGGAAATGTGTAATATGATAAGAAATCTAATTTGAATCTGTTTTATGTTTTTAATTCTTTTAAACTTGTGGCTCTGTTTGCTAAAAATAGCTTCATGTGCAGAATTACAGTTAGAATCACGTATCCCACCATTCCTAAACTATTGGAGAAATGTAAAACAAGTGTGATGCGATGCTCTCTGTAGTAACATTTCTGTACCTCTGTGTTTCCTAACATGGAGGAATCCCACCAGCAGCAGCACCAGAGCCATCACTAAAACAGTGACAGCAATCCACAGCAGGTTGAAGACATGGGGGGACTCTGAGTCATCGGGGAGGGTCTCTTCATGACGGGATCGAGAATTTGCTGTAAGGATGAAAATAACACTATGCATGGAACTTCAATTGTAAAATGATTGTTTTAAACATGAGACACTTGACAAATATGTTTACATTTGGACTGGACTCTTCATAAGTAGGGGGTGCCATCATCATGTATAATCAGCAGCTATCTAACTGTAACACTGTTATTCCTCACCTCTGACAGCCAGCCAGCTTCCTGGAGATGTTTCACCCTCAGAGGAGCTGCACTTGTAGAGGCCTTCATCAGACTTGGAGACATTGTTAATGGTTATCTCTTCTGCAGGACTGCCCTGCAGGAGGACGCCATCCTTGTAGAAATGAGCTAAGAGCTTGTTGGAACTGGTCTTGCTTCTGCAGCACAGAGTCACAATGTGTCCCTCCATCACAGGAAGAGCAGGACTGTCCAAAATTACAGAACCAGCTGTGGAAAGAAAGAAAAAGCTGTTATTAATATGTTTTATTAATTATTAACATTGCAGTTACACCCAGTTGGAAACTGAAGATATTTTCCACAGTTCAGGAAGAGAAATTACACGTGTGAAAATACAGATATAAGAATGTACACTACAAAATGACATCTGAGATTATAAAGGGTGCACTAGTCGCTAAAGTGTGAGCTGGCAATAGCTATGAAAAATAGTGTAATGTGACACCAGAAGGTAAGTATGACTCCTGACACAATGTAGGGCTGTTATGACAGTGATACGTATGTGTATCACTGTCTGTAATTACATATCATATATGCATGTACATTAGTCGTATGTGACTAATGTACATGCATATATGATATGTAATTACTGTTTGAAATAAAGTTTCACTACATTTGTTTAACTGAGGGTGCAAAATATTAAACAGAGTACAATGTATGCCTTTGCTCCCCCATAGAAACAGCCCTTGTGGTAATATAAAAAAGACTGGTGTCAACGTATTGCTTTTTATATGCCCGTCATTCACCCTAACATCTCGCAGTGACTCCAGTTTTATTCTCTCAAAAAAACTGTACATAATCCAGGCAGCGATTACATTCATCAGCACAAATAAAATGAGCCTCAAACATCTCAAAGAAGAGGAAGCAATAATTCCCAAAGGTTTTCATATTTCCATGAACAAAATCTACGTTAAATAAAAAATGATGGGCAAATATATGCGAAACATGAGGTAATTATACTTCAAATTACATGTAGTGGCTAGAAATACAATAAACATACCAGTGACAGTGATGTTGACTCTGTTGCTTTTCTGTCCTCCGTCAGTCTCACACCAGTATTCTCCACTCTCTCCTGGATAGATTTTATCAATAGTGCAGAAGGTCCCTTTTGACGTCCTCTTAATATCACATACTGGTTTAAATACCTCAGTATTCTTGATCCATTTCAACTGAGTGGACCCATCAGTCCCCTCACAGTGAAACGAGACGGACTCATACTCAAAGTGCTGTAGTCTGTCGGGAGTGATACGAAGAAAAGGTGCGCCTGAAACAGAGAGATATTTAATTTTTTTCATCCAAACTGGGAAAATAATAATGATAATAAAACAAAGTATTTTCTTATGATTGACTCATTGCTACTCACCACTTTCCTGAGTATAACTGTTCTGCACTTCTGTCCCCAGAAGAATGAATTGAAGCATCACTGAATAAACAAAGGAGCAAAGTTGTATATTAACCATAGATGCTTCAATTTACAGGAAAATATAAAATGTAGAAAAAGAAACTAAGACTCAGCACTCACACAGTCTGAAGCAGAGAGATGTGACATCCATGTTGTCTTGCTGCTGTCTGAATATCAGACTGAAATACAACAACAAGTATGCAAGCGAGAACTTCCTCTTCCTGTGCAGTTGACTTTTGATGTTGCTGCTAAAGCTGAAGCCAGAGTCACAGTGGCTTCAACATACAGTAGTTTGTCAGTCTAGAGTTATAAGCACCCATTCAACAGGGGGTTGACCATCCCTGCTCCTTCGGTCAGCTCAAGTTTCTCTTTCGTCATCTTAAAACAAGGTTCACAATGCTCACATCCCCATTTTTACATAGAAACCGTTTTTGTTCACTGTTATTTTTCCTTCTCTTTATACAGGCTGTGGAAAAAAAAACATTTCTAATGCAATCCCAGTGTTATAAATAGGGGACAGTTCTGCACAAGGAGTGTTACTAAGGTTGCTAAAACAGTTGTATGGCTTCTGGAAGAGTTGTCGAAACCCTGATGGCATCACCAGGGTTATCTCAGATTTATTTTTGGACTTCTAATTTATCACAGAAATGTTATTGCATAAACTATAGGTAAAATGTCCTGTTCTGCCCCCTGCAGTTACAAAACAGACCTAACAACTACCTCATGAACAGTCTCCATTTCCTAAGGCAACAAAGAAACATTGTTATTGCTCATGTGGTTTTGATAACAGCTGTAATATTTTATACTCGTGATCCGTTACCTAGCAACATGCTCAAAGTTCAGCGTTGCAAAGACACTCAAAGTAAAACTGAGATAAGTTATTAAAACCAGACAATCCCAAAACTCTGTTTAAAGTTCTATTTATTAGTTGATTAATTGACAGTTTTACAAAATGACCTTTATCCTGAAAGATCCAATGATATACAAGTTTATGAATCTGTATCCAAATCAGTATATTATATTATATTATATTATATCATAACAAATAAAAATAACAAATACAATCTGTCAAAGATCCAGTCCTTAACATTCTGCATAATGTCCGTATCTGTCCATATGCAAATGTATCACTTCCCCGGATTGTGCTGTAATTTTGTGCATTTATTCCAAAATTGAATGACTAAGTAGATAACAATTTATAAAAACAATGACAAAACCCAACCCAGTTCATGGGGAACACTGCACAGGTAAACTTGAAAGTTTGGAAGTTCTTCACCAATTTCTATTCCAAACTAAAAATGAATTAATGTACAAGCTGCAGTTCAACCAGGGTGAGTTAAGGACACATCCTGTCAATGATTTACAGACTTTGGTCATGAAGTCTGATTAAATGACCGACACTGACTGTGCAGCAGGTACGTCGTCTTCTACATTTATTTTTGCTTTTTCTACATGTTTCTACTTCTATTTTAAAATATATTAGCACTTTCTAGCATTGCATTTAGAGCACACATATATATCATTATAACACACGCTGCGGGAACATTGTATCATACATGGTATATATTTGAATAAAGGATAATTGTTATCTAATCATTTCAAAATGGATCAGTATTTGATGTTTTAATTATTTGAACCGGAATAGGGTCTAGAATAAGGATTAAGATTAAGTATTAGAGACAAGGACTTTGTACCATAGAACGAGTTCTGGTGTAGGCTAAAATATACAAAAAGTCTGGCAGCATCAAACTTTTTTTTTTTTCAAATTCACTATGGAACAGTTCGTGACTCAACAGAAGTAAAGGTATATACCATATACAGCCACAGAATTCACTATAGGTCAGTGACTGTCTGTACTGACAAAAGTGAAAGTATAACTCCACCGCATGGAAGTGTTTTATTGTCTGTGTAAAATGAGGATACTGCTAGTGAAGTTGTTCTTACAGCTGTAAGTCTTTGTTTCAATTCAAGCAGAAATATGAATATGATATAGTGTGTAAGACTTTCAAGCCCAATGGCAGTTCAATGCATTACATATATTCATTTTAACTGACAATTATTTAGTTAACAAACAAATCTGTTCAGGAATGAGTTCATATGTTACAGGACTACTTATTTTGCCTATTCAGCAGATCAAAAGCATATTTTCTATACAATGGTGGTGTCCATGTAGGCTTTTAGTGTTTTATGTTCATTTTCAGAACTGCAGGATGCTTCCAATGACTGGACTGCGCCTTCAGTCTCCGCTCAGAACCATCAGTGTTCTGCTCGTCCATTTTCTCCTAGCACACTTTTGTAGAGGTAAGTTACACACAAATACAATTTAAGGCATTGGAGGGAAGTTGTTGTTGAATAGCAATATTTTTTTTCAATCAAATACCAAATGACTATGTGTAAAATGAAAGCTGTTGCTCATAGTGGGAAATTAACAGACTCCTGTGAGCTTCACTTGTTTTGGATGTCTCCACTTGTTCGGTTCACTGTTTTAGTTCACTCTCACTGCTCTTGTAGTGCTGTTTTCAGCCACAGCAGGAGGCTGTTTTCTACAAAAAAGCTCTAAAACGCAAACATTTTTCTACCTGCCGAGCAGACAAAGTTAGCATCTAGCTAGTGGACATAGTAAAGAATTTAGCAGCTTGTTTCAATGACTTGCTGCCAGATGATTATCATCACAAAGAAACAGAATCATTTCTAGGTCTGCAAGGCCAGGTGGATGAAGCCTGTAATTGTGAACCCTTTGTTCATTCCCTTTATTTCATACTTGTATGTATAATGTTTGTCCATAAGGCAATGTCACATTGAGCAAACAATAATGGGAAGAAAACATGAGTAAACAAGGCACCATATCAATGTCACAAAAGTTTAAAAATATCGGCAGTGTCCCAAATTTAAATTTAATTAAATTGGTCAAAGGCGCAGCAATATTGAGTGGAATTTAGTTTCCCATGCTCTGCAGTTCAGTGCATCTTAAACTGGGGGTTATGAACAGCAACCTGTTTATTCTGAGGGGTCGAGACTCTTAAATGCCGAGATCACTCGTGGCAGTGCTATTTAGAAATGTATGCCAAAGGTATGCAATCTATAAACCAAAAAAGTAGAAAACTGGATCTACCAATAAGATTGATTGAGACACAGGTCCACAGTATGCATTGTTGAGATTTGAGAGCTACGTACCATCTTCTTCCTCATTCTTACACTGGTTCCTATGAAGACGTTTATGTGCGTCACTGCAGAAGCATCATTCCTGCTGAACCAATTTAGTTCTTACTGCAAGAACAAATCCTTTATTTTATCTTCCAGGTCAGTCTCAGTTAATTGGTTCGCCTCAGCCAATAGTGGCAACAGTTGGTGATGACATCATTTTGCCGTGTCATCTGGAACCTGCTGTGGATGTTACTGCCAAGACATTGGAGTGGACGAGACCCGACCTGAACCCCAGATTTGTCTATGTGTGGCGTGCTGGTCAGGACCTTGTAAATGTAAAAAATCCAGGCTATAAAGGAAGGACATCATTGTTCGCTGGTGAAGTGAAGCATGGAAACATTTCACTGAAGCTCTCCAAAGTAAAACCTTCTGATGAGGGGAGATACAGATGCTACATTCCAGATCTGACTATAGACTCTTTCATTGAGCTTGTTGTTGGTGAGTAGATACACAATGTATGTGTACAGGATAGTTTGGTGCAGTCTGTACATTGTATCCAGTGAATCATGTAGAGGATAAACATAGTATCGACCAAACATTAGTGTAAATCAGGGTTAAAAGCATTTTAGGACAGTTCTGGGAGGAAACAATTTCCCCAGTTGGTTGTATGTTTAAGTATAAAACATGAAATAGTTAAAAATGTGATATGCCATAATATAGACAATGACAAAGTAAATATCCATCAAAACCCTTCCTTAAGTCCTACCTCAACCATATGTTACTGTTGCTAATATCTGTCCGGCTTTAACACCTCACAGATATGGTTTACAATGATGATGGCAGCCGATTTACCTCTAAAATTCATAATAATGTGTGAAACAATTGGTTCGTTATTTAAGAATAATGTACAAAATATATGGCTTTTTTAATCTTTGTGAGTGATCATTGATTTTACTTGCCAAAACTACCTACCTAATTTTATTTGGATAACACTAAATCATAACAGAAGTTATCTCTAACAGAAAGGGATGGACCTTTGAACTTTGAAAATTGTCCTAACTCTTGACCCTGCGGTTACTGCTGTGGGTAATTCAGCCAGGCATGCTCATTTTGCCAGCTTATCAGAATTTATGAGAGCCAGATACATTGTTTATCTATAGTCTATTATGTATAATAGGGTCAGTGCACATTAATAAAAATTAGGCATAAATGTGCCAGAGTTAACCAAAAAGCTATTTTTGTCCATAGTCCCTGGTAAAATGTTAGGTATATTTTTATATATTTTTATGTGCTTTTTCTCTGAAATCTTTAGACACCTATTTAGTAGAGCTTCTTTCAGAGCACTTCTTAGTAGGGAAAATTCAAAGCTTGACAGACTTCTTGTGTCTAGTTACAGTTGCTAAGCTATGACCAGACAATCCCTGCTTGGGGATGGGGATAGCAAATGGCTAATACATGGATGTAGTAACTGAAGAATGGAGATAAATATATATATGTCCTCAGGTCCACTAGGGGCACAATGAGAAAGTTGTGACCTGTTTGGGAATTCAACAGATGGGTAGAACAAGAGTCAAGTCCTGTGTACTATCAGAGATGGTGTGATTGAGCTATGCACTGTGTTCGTAAGGAACAAAAAAACTTTCCCATGTTCGGCAAGAAGTCTCCCGTAAGTTATTACGATGACAAACAGATTAAGAGTCAGCATACTAACATTCCCCTTAAAAACATTTGGTGCTAGATGAAAAGTCAGAGAATCACCCAGTTCAACCTCTGGGCACCATGGACATACGTACTAAAATTCAGGTCAATCCAGCCAATAGCTGTTTAAATTAGGGATGTCTGATATTATCGGCTGATATTCACTAAAAAATGTAATATCGGGAATTATCGTATCAGGTTTTTATAACCGATGTTTGCTCTGTAGGCTTCAGCATTTCCGAGCCTGCATGAACGCAGCATGGGACGTTTACGGGTGCGCGCTAGATGACGTATAACAACAACAACAACAACAACTACACTAGACTGGTTGGTTGCTAACGGTGGCTAACAAGCAAACAATTTAAAGCTGAATGATTTTAATATTAACACAAAATAAGTGCAATGCACCTTAAATATTTGACCCTGCTATGAGCTGTTACTTAACCAAACTGACAATTGGCTTAGAATTTACATTAGCACTCCTTCAGGTGGATAATACAATTAAACACATTAACCAAAGCTAGCGCTTAGCTAGTGATTAGCGTTAGCGCTCTTTTCAGTATTAATACAATGAAAGTTGAAGTTGTTGGATGTCGGATGATATCGATATCGGAAATTGAGAGTTGGACAATATCGGAATATTGGTTATCGGCAGATAAGCCAATATCAAGCATCCCTAGTTTAAATGTTTTACTCTAGATGAAAGCCATGGACTTACTGACCAACACTGCCATCCACAGAGGGCCAATGTGGCCAAAGATTACATACAAGTAACCAAACAAGGACTATCGATACCGGGCTCCACTGCCATCCATAGACTATACAATCAGCCAGTGTCATGGGGGTTGAGTACGGCTGTATTGGAGCTATCGAGTGCTACATCTCAGACTCAAACTCAATAGTTGTATTTGAACTCTAGTAGAACATCCTTGAAATGAAATACAGCCATGATTTAAGTTTTTCAATTTCCAACTTTTGCAAATGTCTATTATGACCCTTCACCAGTTATTATTTTAAAGGCAATGCTAATGCACAGGCTATACAGTATGTGTTTATTATTAGCTTCACAGTTTTGCATTTATCTGCATTTGTGCACCGTTTTTGATTATTAACTATTAACAGTGATTGAATAACTGACAACTGCATTACAATCTTTCCTTTTGCTCAACTTCAGGTGCTGTGTCCCCACCTGTCATCGCTTTATCAGGGATTGAAAGAAACAAAGGAGGACTGGATCTACAGTGTGAGTCTAAAGGCTGGTATCCAGAGCCTGAGGTGGTCTGGCTGGACGGTGAGGGAAACCTCCTCTCTGCTGGACCTACAGAGACAGTCAGAGGTCCTGATGACCTCTATACTGTCAGCAGCAGAGTGACTGTGGAGAAGAGACACAGCAACAACTTCACCTGTAGAGTCCAACAGAAGAAGACCCACCAGACCAGAGAGACACACATCTTTATTTCTGGTCATTATTAAATAATATTGTTTAATGTGATCAATTGTAGTTTCAAATAGCTGAGTTCTAGTTTTCTATACGTAATTCTGTTTAATTTCAGATGATTTCTTCGAGGTCCAGTCCAGTTCTTTTACTCTCACAGTTGGTCTGGCTGTTAGTTTGGCTGTTTGCATCCTTCTTATTCTGTTACTTGTCTTCTTTGTGTGGAAATGGAGACAAAACATAATCAGTAAGTCACAAATAAATTGCATTGTTTTAAAAATGTCAAGTTATTCTCACAGGTGTAATGAGTAATGGTGATTAAAACATCAGTATATTACAGCTTATAGTGCTGATAAATAATGTGGTGGTTTGTCAGCTTTTAATATTCAATCAGTCACATTGTCAGGTTTATTTAGACTGAAATGTTCATATGCTGTGATACCTTCACAAAATGCAAATAAACTTCTTTCATACTTTAATTGTATTTTACACAGTAAACAAGAGAAGCCACTGGGGTGACAGTGATAAAGGAGAGGAGAGGAATTGCTCCAAAAGAAACAAAACTGAAGATCAGAGAGAGACACTCATGGCAGATGGAACAGTGCAAATGGAGGTTTTGAACGAGGGAAAGGGGAAAAAGAAGAACAAACATGTAAGTAAAGAAACAGGACTTTGCTTTCAGAGAGAAAACAAACAAGATAAGTTTCATCAGAGTATAGAACAATAAAGTATCATGATCTGAAATGAGAAGACAACATGTCAAGATTATTTATAGAGCACATTTCATACAACATGTAGGTGAAGACTCAAAGTGCTACAAAAAACCTTTAAGAACGGTGACCAACTTATGGTGTCCATGTTCTTAAAGTGCAAGTTTGATTTACTAAAACTAGTCTGAGCCACTGCAGACTTTCACTCATAATAATTCTGTTAAATATTTGTTACTTTAATGTCTGACATTTCTCAACTGCACCTAAATACAAAGGCTGTGACACACGTGTTATTGTGCAGTGTCTTCAGTAACCTCCCCAAATATAATCATGTCTCACATTGTCTTGTCTCTGTCCTCTCTTTCTGTTGAAGAAGCAGAAAACTGAGCAGCAGCTGAAGGAGGAGCAGCAGAGGAGGGAGGAAGCTGAGAATAAAGTGAAGAGGGTCCTCACTCTATTCTCAGAGGAGCTGGAGACGAGGAAGAATGAGGTTCAACTTCACTTTAATAATATTCACTTTTATTTTAGTTTGAAGTCACATTGTTATGTCATCCATAGTGTAGACAAAGTCAAACTTGTCTCTCTGTCCTTCCAGGTCAAACTCAAACAATCTGAGCTGCAGCAGCTCCGTGAAGAGAAGCAGAAGATCCAGAACAACCTGCAGACCGTGAAGAAAGATCTGGAGAACAAACACAAAGAGGTTCATGTCTTCATCTTTATTGAGATGTGTCATTATCTCTGTTGTTTGAGAATCCACTAAACCACGTTTGTGTTATTAAACTTCTACTCAGTAATGTAGCATATAAAATGTAACTGACTGTATAATAAGTTACATATTGTGTTTGGTTTAACTGTCATTTGGTTGTATAATTATTCACAAGCTTTAATGTGGTACTAATGTCTCTATCTCTCCGTCCCAGCTGGAGACAATCCAAGCCACGCTATCCCGGTGGTCTTTGGTAAGTGCTCATGGTTTGAATGCAATAATACACTCTGAGGTGCCATCACAAAAATAACTAGAAAGTCTGTTATTGTAATATATCCATTATTTTTGTGATGCATCTTGTTACTAGTCTGTGAATGAGAGCCATGCTGACACAGACAGACGGCATTCTCTGCTGGTCCTCCATTTTCTTTATCAACTTCATTAACAGTTAAATTGTGCAGCTCTGAACTACTTTATACAACACAGAGAGCAGCAGAGAGAATGTGAATGTGTACAGCACATACTGAGGGGAAGTCAGGGGTCACCACCCACAGACCTGAAATTAAACTTTGCCACTGAAATGTTCTGCTACACAGAGAGCTGATATTTCTCACTTTTTATCCAGCAATAACCAGAGGCTTCATTTATTTGCCATATGTGTCACTGTATAGTATGTTCAGTCACATGTTTTAATGATCCAGAGAGGCAGAAAAGAAGAAGAGCAGAAGAAGAATAAAGCTGAGCAGGAAGTGGAGACACTGAAGAAGAAGATGGAGACTCATCAGAAGGAATTAGACACCAAAATCAAACAGGTTTCTATTGTTTTTCCTTAAAATATTTTTATTTTTCAGCAATTTACTTATTTGCTTTCATACTCTCATCACCTTGGTATTATCAGTCATTAAACTATGTCTCCATTGTTCTCAGCATTTTCCTTTGGCTGCAGATTTCAGTGTTACACTATGTGAGCACAGAACCTACTGCTTCTGTAGTGACCTAAATTAAAAAGCAGAACATAGAGAAGGACTTCCTCCTTTATTTGAGTCATAATTACTACGGTTACTACATCACTTGAACATAAATATACTTTGTTTTGGGACTTTATCATGTTGTATGAAAGACAGTGTGTGCTTTGCACTGGTCATTGCATTTGTACCAATTAAATAGCTACTGAACAGTTACTTAATTCAGAAATGTTTATCTCTTGGCAGCAGCTTAAATACGATTTATAGATAAAGTCATCATTCCATAGGTTTGACTGTTTCTCTGGTACTGTAGTACATCACTTCTAATGTGCATTAATAATAAAACATGTCTCTCATATGGTCATCTCGTCTCCTCTTTCCTCCCAGGTTGAAGACAAACAAGCTGAAGTCCAGCAGCTCCAGGATGATATTCAGAGGATGATGGAGACCAACCTGCGGACCCTGATGGAGAATCTGGAGTCCAACAACAAGGAGGTTCATCTTTCTACTTTAACCAAAACCATCTGAATATTTTCAGTAATATTTGGTGTCCAGCGAATAAGTTTTCACCACAGATCAAAAATCATCTTGACTTTATGTGTTGAACAATTTAGACCATAAACTTAAAGCTGCCCTTTCGTCCAGAGTTACTCACTAAAACACATTGTGTTCTTTTACAAAGCCAAATTATTTTAAAATGCAATGTTTACCTGCTTGCAGTCTTCTTCCATCTTTGTTGTCACATTGCAGCATATCCTGTTGCAGCCACCTGTAGATCAGAGGAATAGTATAAAACCACTGGCTGGAGTGTGTGTCTGCCACATGTGTGTATTCAAATGTGTTCTCGTGCACAAACTGGGGACTCATTCATTAAAACAAATAAGCTCCAAGTGCTACTAAAGGTCTAAAACTCCACCGGGAACCTTTATGGTTAAATAATTTGTTTAATGGTTTAGATAATAAACCACTAAATATATTTAATAAAGAACATGTCTCTCTTAACCTCTCTCTTTTATCCCAGTTGAAAAGAAGACAAGCTGCTCCGGTCCGGTCTTCTTCATCTGGGGTAAGTTGTAACGTAGAAGTACAATTTATACAATCTGATACTTCCTGATAGAAACTAACAAAATCAGCAGAGTAAACTCCACAAGACAAACTTACACAGACAGATGTGTGCTGTATTGAACAAAACTGACTTCAGGTCACAAATGTTCCTTTATACTCACTGAAGGAAGAGCTGCTGCTTTACTGGTCAAACTGTGGAACTGCAGAGTTTCTAACAGGAAAGCTGAATGTTCTCAATTTGACTTAAAATCACAATGACACAAATAAAATCTGACAATTAAACTAAAACAAAAAAGTTATGTGTTATATGTTTTTTTAAAGATGATGAACTTTCTTGTGTCTAATCTCTGTCTCCTCTTTCTCTTTCAGTTTCAGTGGCCGTTGGTTTCAAGGCAGAGGTTCCAGGATGAGCAGCAGAGGAGGGAGGAAGCTGAGAAGAAAATTCAGATCCTGGAGGAGAAGGTTTATATTTGAGTTTCCTTTCCAGCCACTGATTTGCTTCTTTTCAAATCCCTTTTAAATTAGTGTCTTCCAGAAAATAGAACATTATGATTTTTATTCATCTTTTTTTTTCTGTCACGTTCCCTTACCTGTTTCTGATATACTGAACATCAATGGGTTGTTTGTCTGTCCCTGTTGTCATGTTCCCTTACTCGTCTTAATGAAAGAACATGTTTCTCCACTCAGCTCCAGGAAGAACAGCAGAGGAGGAAGGAAGCTGAGGAACAAATTCAGACAAAGGAAAAGGAGCTGAAGGAAAAGACTGATGAGGTTCATTGTTTTACTTTAATCACTATCAGTTTATTTCATTTTCATTGATACTTTTCTCCATCTTTTCATCAACACATTGATTTATTTCCAGCTGGCTAATTTATTTTGTCTCACTATGTTGATTCTCTTTGTGTCCAACCTGGTTTGTCCTCAGTCCTTAAATGTCTCACAGCTGCACTTTTTTCTTTCACTGAAAGTTGATTTCCAGGCAGAAGTTGGATGTTTACTTCATATTCATTATATATATAGGCCTGTATTTATTATATATATATATATATATATATATGTACATTATTAATAATGTATTATAGGCCTGTATTTATTATATTATGAATGAAATGTGTGTTATTTGGAAGAAAGTCGAGGTGTGACTAACTGCACCCCCTTCTCCACATAGCTTTAGGAATTATATATTATATATACTTTATTATAACACAGGTTCATCTTTTATTGATATTGAGTTTTGTTTACACCTTTGTTAAATCTCATGCTTACTGCTGTATTTTATCTTCAGAATATTTCAACAACATCAACCACACAAAGAGTCAAAGTATTTTAAGGTTGAAAGATTAAATTAAAAAAGCTCTTCTTGATTCATGAATGTAAGTAGAGTAGCCTTTTTACTTTTTTTTTGCCTCATTGTTGGGAAGCCTCTGACCTCATCTGTTGTATGTGTAGAAATAATAAATCAGCATGAACTTTTCCTTTAAATATATATTTATTTTCTTTTGAAATCAAAATATAAAGAAATGTATTAGTTATGAGTAGTAACCATTCTGTTTGCCACAAACTGAACTGCATGATGACACAATACAGAAATTAGCATAAAGTATTGTTATTACACTAAATAAGAAATATTGTATGTCTGTGCATGAACAAATATATATTGTATTTGCTAAAAGTCATCCATAGAGAGTATGACATTCTCCACAGTGACGTATATGTTGGAGGTCAGTTAGAGGTCAGACTCTCTGTTAGACCTCTTTAAACCAAGTCTTATAAAAGTGTTGTATTCAGTAATCACTTCTGAGAGGAAACACACATGTTGGAACATTAAGGTTCAACTGTCTCAGATTCTTTATCCATTGGTTAATTCCTGCAAATTAACACTGTTAAAATCAATATTGATCAAGAATGTTGAGATCCACACAATGTGCCACTGTCAGTGCTGTACAGCATTCAAACTCCAGTTCTGTTAAATATAATAATGTAACATTCTGACCAGAATCAAGAACAACCTGTTATTTTAAGATGTTTACTGCAGTCACAAAATGACTGAAACATTCTGATCCTATAAAGTGAGTTATTAACAGTTAACTAATACTAAGTTATAGTATACTAATACTTATACTAACTGTATCTTATATATGATAAAATCTGACACTAATTTCCAGCTGAGAAGATGATCAAACTAACCATGAGAGCAGATCTGAGACAGCAAATAAGTGAATGTATTCATTCTATAAATATGATAAAGATTAGATTTTGTTGTTGAACCCTGCTGACACTGCTGACTTTGAGACATTCTGCTTCTTTACTTTAATGCTCTTATTTTCTAAGATAAGTAGTGCACTGATTGTTACAGCTGATTGTTACGCCCCTGTCTAGGGGGTAGGAGCTCAACATAAAAGTGAAGAGAAAATATTAACAATGAATAACTTTCCCTTCCCAATCCCCAAACCAAAAACGAACACGGGTTGAACAAACAAGTGAAGTGATTTATTTACAAACGTAAAAACAAAAGTGCAACAAAAGACAGGAATAAACTCCGGGAACCGAGGACAAAACAACAAACAAAACAGATCTAACTTCTTTAAACAAAATTCTGATTCATCTGTTGTATCTGTAGAAATAGTGAAAGTATGATATCCCACATTGATATTACTTATGTGTGGAGTCAGTTAAAGGTCAGACTCCCTGTTAGACCTCTTTAAACAAACTCTTATACAACTGTTGTATTCAGTCATCAGTTCTGAGAGGAAACACAAACGGTGGAACATGAAGATTCAACTGTCTCAGGTTCTGTGTCAGGCTGTCTCCCTGCAGATTAACACTGTTAAATCAACATCTGTCTGTCTGTCTGTCTGTCTGTCTGTTAGCTGGAGGACAATGCAAAAACAGTTAACACACAGTGGAAGAAGACCAATGATGAGCTGACGGAGACAAAGGATCAGCTGAAGAGGAAGAATGAAGAGATCAGCCAGCTTAAGAGAGAGGTATACACACACACACACACACACACGCGCGCACACGCACACGCAAAAACACACAAACTCCAGTTCTCTGACAGCTACTATTAACAGTTAATAATAATGTGCATCAGTACAGTAACATTCTTTATGATAGCTATATATAGAGCAATCAACAAATATTTGACACAGTATAACAGTCGCAGCATCACTGTACTGAATATTGTTGGTGTAACAGATGGAAAATCACATTCCCTTCAGTTGTCCAAATGTAATATTTAATTTTAGATCAGATAATTGATTATCAATGTTAACATAAAAAAAAAAAATCACATTAACTTCATGAAATAAAATGTCTCTCTTCATCTCTCCTACCTCACAGGTGGTCCAGCTGCTCTCGGATGAGAAGAAGAGAGCAGAGAGAGCAGAGAGAGACCTGAAGGAGCTGATGGCTAAAAACACGGAGGTTCATTTTTTTCACCCGAATCTATTTTGTTTTTATCTTCTCCATATGACACTGATTTGTAGCTGAGAAGATGATCAAACTAACCATGAGAGCAGATCTGACTGTGGACAGTGGACTCAGGTTGACAGAAACACAGAGCAGTGTAACAGTGAATGTATTCATTCTATAAATATGATAAAGATTAGATTTTGTTGTTGAACCCTGCTGACACTGCTGACTTTGAGACATTCTGCTTCTTTACTTTAATGCTCTTATTTTAGAATTACATGTTGAATTCATCAGTTGAGTAGTGCACTGATTGTTACAGCTGATATTTACAGTATATATTCACAGTATAAACAGAGTTTGAACCTGACTCAACTATGGGCACATTGTTACACCCCTGTATATGGGGTAGGAGCACAACATAAGAAGCAACAAATGAAGAGAAAATCGTAACAATGAATAACTTTCCCTTCCCGATCCCCAAACCAAAAACGAACACGGGTTTAACAAACAAGTGAAGTGATTTATTTACAAATCTGAAACCAACAAAAACCAGGAACAATCTTCAGGGTGAACCGAGGCCAAAACAACAAACAAAGCAGATCTAACTCTCTAAAACAAAATGCTGACTAATTCCTGAATGGCAGTTCACCCCTACACACCCACTATATACAACCATAGGAAAACAATAATCTTTATAACTCGCCAATCGTTGCCAACAACGTTCGTACGACTACACACAGTTTCTCATTGGTCGGGGGACAGAACGATGCTGCTGCCAGGTTTTCTGACCCGACTGATGTGAGGCCAGATGTTTAAAACATGGCGGATGTTGCAGATGTCAATCTGTAATCAATAATCAACCAGTCAGGAGGAGACCTATGGGTTGCCGTCAAAGATCCCTACTGAGACAGGCTGCACACTCCTGTAGAAAACAGGGACAAAACACAGAGCACACCACAGCAGAAACAATACAAAAACAATAATACAGTCAGGGTCGAAACAACATTAAAAGGTCATAAATCACAACCTACAACCAATCAGAACGTAGTTTTAGACCTGGATATTAAGTCCACGATATAAAACCAATTGTCTCTTCATCTCTCTTTTTCCTCCCAGTGGGAAAATAAGTTCAAGGAGGAGAAGAGGAAAAGGGAGGAAGCTGAGAAAAAAGAGAACGCAAAGAAGGAACCGGAGAGCAAGGTACATGTTTTACCCTTTATTAATGGAGTTTTCCTCTCACTTTCTTTTAAACTTCTTCATAAAATATTGATTTTCATCTGAAACCAAAACATTTACAATCTTAAACAACACATCATGATCACCACCTGTCCATATTACAAGCAGTCAGTATAATTATTAATGTCTACTTGTTCCCACTCTCGTCTTGAGTCTTTGTGTGTTTTTAATGTCTGTAATCTACCTGCTGTCAGTCTGAACTGTTGCTGAACTATTCTAATATCAGAATCAAAATTACAATTGATCACATTTATCTCCATCGCTGTTGTTACGACCCAGCTCGGTTTGGGGAGCAGTAACATACAATTGGAATTGGAAAATAGATGGAATACAACAATTGACAGGTTCAGGTTAAAATCAGGTGTTTTAATTAACTAAGGAGAGTGTGCTTGCACAATGAAATACAACAAAGGAGAGGCTATACAGGTGCTGACAAATAACTAGTACACAAAATGAAAATGACTGGATAATACTAAGGAACAAAAAGAGATCAGCACCCATAAGCTTACAAACTAGTGAACAAAACCAAACTAGCAATTATTGAACAACTTAAAGGTCACAAAAGATACAAAGGCACTGGCTGAATCCACTCAGATAACAGCCAGGCAACACTAGAAAGTACAAACACTAACACAATGGTGTGCAACCAACAGCAAGGCGAACTGATCACTAGTTCACAGCCGCCCTGAACTGTGGACACACAAGCTATTTAAGTGCAGCTGGGGTTGATTGAAGTCTCCTGATTGGTAGCTTCAGTGGACTTGCAGCCACACCAATCACTGAAGCCAGGGGACAGCAACCAGGAAGTAGGCGGTCTCTGCTCCAGAAGGACCAATCCTCAACAGGGAATCACATGAAACACCATAATGAATATACACTAAATGACAGCCAGCGGCGGCCGTAACAGCTGTCGTAAAAAGACAGAAAGATTTCACTTATCAAGACAACATCCATCTGTCTGTCTGTTAGCTAGTTGGTTAGTCCTGAATGATATGTGTGTGTGTGTGTGTTGTCTCCCTCTTAGCACGTTGCAATCAAACGTGAGGTGCTGGAGGAGAACAACACCAGCTCGGCCAGTCAGAGCTCAACCACAGTACCTGACATTGAGGTCGACCCGCAGG